AAAAAATGCAACAATGAATGAATGAAAATCCAAAATCTTCTGTAAATGTTCATTAAAATTAATAAAATAAAATTTTTAAAAAGACAGTTAATAAATGAAGGTAATAGCTTGTTCTTAAAAATTGATTTTAATCCTCTTAAACTTCTCTATTTATGAATGCCATCAACTGGAATGAAATAATATTCTCAAAATCAAACTCCTTACTGTCCAATCAGAACAAATTCATAGCTGACCCTCCAAGTGCACGTTGCAATCACACAGGCGAACACTGCTAATCTTTCCCCCCCAGAAGTTGCTAGTGGATTTGAACTGTCAGAGGGGCCCCACCTGTGTGTTAGCTTGCAAATCCCTACAGACTCTGCTACTGAGCTCCCTCAAATAATCTTAGAAAATAAAAAAAATAAAATCTGTAAGACTTTAGTTTGATTTTATTTCACTTTTGATGTTAAATTTCATCAGAGAGAACTTAGTATTAAAACCTCAGATATACCTCAAGTCCAATAGAGACTGTTTATATAGAACAAAAGAAATCCTGGAGAATAATTAAGTCATAGAAAAAGGATTTATTGTGTTAAGTACAGGAAGCCTTGACCACAGACAAATGCATGTCTGCACACCGCCTGCCAGAAAGGAAATGCCCCTGGCCCTTTCCAGGCTCACATAATGGTGACGGCAACTTTTAGCATAAGCTGTGCTGCACTTTGAGGCTGGAGGTGTCATTGAGTGTAGAGACCTAGCGTGTAAAAGATTATTGTAATCATTGAAGGATCGTAGATGAATAGGTACTTTGTGGGTGGATATGTGTATATATGTTTAGAATTCCTTTTGTTTTGTGAAACTCACACTTTCCTTTTTCAATCTGTGGAACCCCATGCAAATATAGAATACTCAGGCACGTGCGTGTTCTAAGATACAAGGTCACCATGAGTCAATCAGCTTTAAGGCAGCTGGGGCGTATGTGTGTTTGTGTGTGTAATATACCACCCCTCTTTTCATTTACACACACACACACACACACACACACACACACACACACACACACACTAGTTGTCTTGAAGTTGGTTTTGACTCATGGTAACCTCAGGTGTCAGTAGAATATGGTTCATAGTGTTGTCAGAGGCTGATTTTTTGGGAACACATAGTCAGGCCTCTCTTCTGAGGCACCTGCAAGTGGATTCACACCTACAGTCTTTTGGGTAGCAGCTGGATACCACCAAGATACTGACTGACAAATACACATACATACGTTCTCTTTTTTTTTCTCTGCCTATAGTTTGGAAGGTTGGACAACAGCGCAGGAGAGGGAGACCCCAGATGAGATGGATTGATACAGTAACTGGGGCAATGGGAGTTGATGTGTCGGAATTAGTGAGACTTGCTCAGGACAGGGAAGGGTTCAGAATTGCTGTATATAGATAGGATTGCTTTACATCCCAGGAGACTCAATGGCACATAACAACAATAACATACCATGCCAGGTTTGGAAGTAGGGGTGACATCCACTTCCTAAACAACATGCCTCTGGAAACTCTATGAACTTTGAGAAATATCGATAGTTGTAGAGGGGCTTCAGGCCTTTTGTTCATAGGGTCACTATGAGTCGTGCTCAACTCAAAGGCAATCAACAACAACAATATGTGCATTAAAATACAGTAAATATTCCATATCTATAAAATATACATAAATACAATAACATTCTACACTGTATTAGAGACATTTCTCTCTCATTATCAGTTAGTCTCATAGCTGGCCCTCCAGCAGATTTTCTGAGGCTGTTAAATTGCATAGGAGGAGACTGACATACTTTGGACTTTTTGCAAGGTGGGATCAGTCCTTGGAGACGGATGTCATGCTTGGGAAGGTGGAAGGACAGCTCAGGAGAGAAAGACCCTTGATAAGGTGGATTGATTCAGTGACTGGGGTAATGGGGGTAGGTGTGTGAGAAACAGTAAGATTGGCACAAGATACAACAGGGCTTAGGGTCACTATGAGTCACAGGCATAATAACAACAACAACAGCTATTTTTCTTTAATGCAATTCTGTTAGGGATATAGCATGTTCTTGTTGAGTACTGTAGAGTCAGAACTGACCCATAGCTGAGCCTCCGGTGGATTTTCAGAGGCAGTTAATTGCACAGATCACCTTCTTCCACAGAGCAGCTGGTGGATTCGAACCACATGCCTTCGGGATTGCAGTGCAACTTCTTGACATTAGGCCACCAGAACTCCCTGGAATATAGCATAACTTCTATTAAACTCAAACTCATTGCTGTCAAGACAGAACCAACTCCTAACAGACACCCAAGAAGGTTTTTGAAGGCTTAAATTACATGAAAGGAGATGCCCATCTTTCTCCTGAGGAGCAGCTGGTGGATTTGTCCTGCCAGAATAGTGTGATCTTTTGGTCACCAGCACCGCTCTCCAGGAACTGCATCTCAAGAGCTCCCTTAACTTGTGTTGGGAAAACACACAGAAAAATATATAGAGAAAAATATCCTATAAATCCATAATACATTTGAATGGAATTAATCAATATGTAATTAAGTAGTAATTTCCAGATAGTCTCATTGACTCTTCATCTTGAGATTGATAAAAACTGTTAACACTGTGATTTTTTTGTTGTTGTTCCTACAGATATTTTTGAAATTCCAGAAAGCATCTCATTCTGCAAAGCACTACGGATTGTTGACTTCAGTGGAAATCCACTAACTAGGTAATTGTTTTTCTCTCTCCATTTTTATGCTCTCCAGTTCTCAGGCTATTCTCTTTATTAAGAGCCAAACTAAGAACACAACCAAATTTCCATGGAATCATTCAGAAATTTTACCAAGAACTGTCCACTCTCATAGACAGTTGTAGATAGCATTGCCCCTAATGTTAACAATGAGTGGTACACGGTGCTATTGGTAGTAGTGGCATGATGTTGTAGAGGGTGAGGGAGAGGCGTAATGGAGTGTACAGGAGACAGTATTTCTGAAGCGGTGTGAAGATCTAATTTATCATCTCTTCATTGACCTGCTCTGTCTTGTAGGGTCTGCAAGGGATTGGATGGAATTCTAAATTCCCAGGTAGCTTTCATCATAGTTCTCCATGAAAAGGGCATGCTAGAACCATTCTTTTCTATTTCAGAATGAAACATACTTATTTACCATTTTAGCTTTTTTGTAGTTCTCCACCTTTTGCTTCTTTTTCCTCCCCTAATGGAATACCATTATTTCCTTGTGTTAACAATAATGTGGGGGGTTTTTTGAGTCACCACCACCTGTCACCATTTAACTACTGACTCCAGCTTTGTCCTTTCTGGTCGGATCCAACCCACTGCCCTGATGGCATCTGCCCTCTGCCACTCTTTACTTGGTTATGGGCCCCTGGCCGCTGGCTTCTAGGCGCCTGTGTTATCAGGATGACTGAATTGTTGCTGGCCCGGCAAAGCAAAGACAATGCTATGGAGTCTGTTTGCAGCCTCTTTTCTTTCAACCTTGGTCTGTGCTTTCCCATTACATCCTAGTAATTTGGCTCTTTATGTTAACAGCCGATTAAAAAAAGAGTGCTTATCAACTCACCAACATTATTACTTAGATACATTTTATCTACTGTACAAAATTATATACATTCTAGGGGGAAAGAAAAACCTGGACAGAACAGGTAAGTTACATCTGATTTACTTGGAGGTAAAAATTTCATCACTTCCTTACTATGGAAAGGAATTCAACTGTGTGTTGACATTGAGTTTTAATGATTATAAAAATTCCAATTAAAATGGTCATAATTATGGACCTCAACTGCATTTTGTTTTTAGGAATTATCTATATTAAATGGCAAATAGTAACTTAAGATTTGCTTTCAATAGAAGAACCAGAGAGAGAAAAAGGAAAAATTCTGATCTGGAGACTGTTATGGAAACCTAAAGTTTCTCCCCAGTAGAAGAAAGAAAATGACGATTATGTATTCTGTTTATATTTACATATGAGAACCCTCAACAGTTTATGTGCAATGAGCTATTTTTGCTTTCTATTAGTTGGTTGGGTTTTTTTTTCTCCTTTCCTAAATATTGGTATGAGTCATAGTTAACTCCATGGCATATAACAGCAGCATATATTGGTAGCCATAGAAATACTGAAACGAAACATTGTAAGATTAAAGCAAATAGATTATTTCAAAATTTTGTTCTTCTTTAGAGTTTAAAGGAAATCATAAAGGTGTGTAGAACATAGTGATATGTAATTATCTCAACCGATAGCATCTTAAATTGAATTCAAAGGGGGAAAAATGAGAAAGTAGTTTTTGGCTATCAAGTGATAAACTCTGAGTAATCCGTAGCTTTACTGTGGGTAGTAAGAGCTACAGGAAGAGACATTATTGAGCAATTGTCCTGTGTTTTGTTATAAACTAATTGAACTTAATGAATTTTCTCCCCAGTTTTTGCCAATCAATAAAATATTTTTACTCTTGCGCATTTTAGTTGCTGCAGCTATTTACCATTTTCTTTCATAGAAGAAATCCAAACATGGTGTGTTGTGTTTCCCTCCCACCCCCCCCCCCCCCCCCCCCCGCCCCCACTTTGTTTTTTAGAGCTTTTACCTTTTCTGGTCAGTTATTTCTGGTTACCCTATCAGCAAGGATTGATTTTACCCCTGTAGTTCAATTTAAGTGGAGTGTTTGTTTTTCCCTGTAAGTGTGTGTGTGTATACACATATAAAACATATACACAATATACACATACACACATATACACACATATGTTGTGAGTGTAATATAAAAGACAAGAAACAAAACAAGAACTTAATCTACTTAATAGAAGTACAGAAGTACAGGGATACATAAAGATATATAAACTATAAATATATTGACATGTCAGTGTACAGGCAAACTTGCTATATGCAATATAACTTCAGGAGGCTGTTTCAATTAACTTGTAGAATAAATAGTTCTGTTTTTCCTAATATATGTCATATTGCACTTCTGTTTTAATTAATAGCATTTTCTCTTTTAGGTTGCCAGAGAGCTTTCCTGAATTACAGAATCTAACGTGTCTTTCTGTAAATGACATTTCACTTCAGTCCCTGCCTGAAAATATTGGCAAGTAAGTTTTTACATGAAGCTGCGTCTAATCAGCACTTAAGGATGTCGGTACCATCACTTTCACCCTCCTCTCCTCTCCTCTCCTCTCTCTTAACAATTCTTATTTTTCTATTTTGTCTGCATACGAAATAATTTCATTGGCTTTCAGTTTCATACTGAAGAAAGAAAATATCACAGCCTCCCTGTTGCTTCCATCTTGCATTAGGTCTTAATGATTCAATAGGATGCTATGTTTATGAAACTACTACTCTTGGTAGTTTTACACTTTACTAGGGAGACGAGCCAACAAACTAATGTTTTGGTATCTGCCCACAAACAACAACCCTTGCTGGTGTATAAGAGCTAAAGATCTGAGAATCGAAGCTAGAACGTGCATTTGGAGGGCAGGTGTGTAATCTGGAGAAGCGTGACATGGGCACATCTCCGTGTTGCTGGTTTAGAGGCTGTGAGGAGCATAAGCTACACAAAGAAACAAAATCTTTTGAAGAAAAAATGTATACTAGTGAATGAATGTTCTGCTATAGCTTCCCTCAGATGAAGGGAAAATTATCCTAGAAGAAATCTTTTTATATCCTTCTAAGATAGGATAGGGTTATGTCAGCTGGTCAAATATGTAACCACCCAAAAGCAAAGTCTGCCTTGACTGGCTTACCTTGCTGTGCTTTTGCTCCCAGGCATTGTAGAAGACTTCCCTTTGTTTACCTGCTCTGCCTACCTTCTAAGACTAAAGGAGGTGGATGCATGCAGAGTCATTGGGAAAGTGAAAAGGTTCACTTCTCAGAGATCTTTGGGAGTCTTTGGAGTTCTTAGATGGTGCAATTGGTATATGCTTGACCATTAACCTGTGGTTGGAGGTTTGAACTCATCTAGTGGCTCCATGGGAGAAGGGCCTGGTGGTCTACATGTGTAAAGATCACTGCCACAAAACCTCTGTAAAACACTTTTGTACTCTTTCAACATGGGAGCTTATTAGAAGTTGGAATTGACTCAACAGCAATGGATTTGGTTGTTCTGTTTGAAGTGATGCAAACAATTAACATGCTTGATGGCTTATTGAAAGCTTTTAGATGGTCAAGTCTACTTAGAGGTGCCTTGGAAGAAAGACCTGGAGACCGAATGCTAAGAAAGTCAGCTATTTAAAATCCTATTGAGCACTGTTATGCTGTGGTAAACTCATAGGACCTCCAGGAGACAGAGTCACCTCCGTGATGGCTTGATGGCTGACGGTCTTCACACGCTTTCACAAACACCTTTCCCTCTTCTGCCCCTAAAACAACAGCCTGGGCCTCATTTCAGCCTGGAATTTAGTGTGTTTCTGAGGTGCTTCCTAATTAACAGTAAAGTGCTAGAATTGCTAGGTAAGAATTGTGCCCTCTAACTCTCTGAAGGAGTGCAAGACCAGAAGCCCCACACACAGCCTACATTTATGGTGTCAACTGTAGAGACTATTTTACTGTGGGTATCATTACATTTACACCTCACTTTAGCTATATCAATTTTCATCTATTTCTAGTAAAAAGTCTTGAATAAATAGCCTTTTTCTTTTAAAAAATACTGATTTTGCATCCAGTCATTTGTATACAGATGTTTCATGCAGGCACTTCACGTTTTATACAATAATTCATATGCATTGTGTTTAATTCACGTCTTCCAGACGCTCCTACTAATGGTTTTCCTCCTGCTTCTTAGGGTCCCTGGAACGTACTTCTCATGGTACCCTCCTCTCATTGTTTCTCGCTGGTCTACCCTGCTATTTCCTTGATTCCTACTCTACTTCTGTTTCATGTCTTTTTAAGAAAAATTTCAGCTTTGAGAGAAAATTTCTTTTTATGAAATCATAATACTTCTCCCATGACAATGGCATTGTTTTAATAGAAAACAATGCTATTCAGAAATCACTTGATAATGTTATTGTTGTTGTTATGTGCCATTGAATCACCTGCAATTCATAGCGACCCTTTGTACGACAGCTCTGAAGCCTGCCCTGTCCTCAACCAATTTAACTGTTAATATACCTACCCCCATTGCTGTAGTTACTGTATCAGATCATCTCATCCGGGGTCTTCCTCTCCTGCACTGTCCTCTGTCCCTCCACCCTTCTAAGCATGATGCCCCTTTCCGAGGACTGGTTCCTCCTGGTCACATGCCTAAAGTATGTGAGACGGAGCTGCAAAATCCTTGCCTCTTAGAAGAAACTTGGTTTTACTCTGTTCAATAATAATAATACTCCTCTCCAGCATCACAACTCGTAGACATTAATTCTTCTGTCATCCTTAGTCACTCTACAGCTCTCTGATGCATAGCAATTGCAAAGACTGAGTTTCAGTATTCCTTTTCTCATCTCTTCTGTTACTGTCTACCTATTATGTTGATATTTAAGGTTTGTGTGTTTGCTCATGAGGGTGGTGGCATTTTTTGATCCTTACATTTATTTAATCAGCTTGTTTTTTTATGGATTTGTGGTTTTTTTAATAGTACAATGTTTAAGAATTATTTCCTGAAAGAAAAATACAACTTTGTGCTTAACTCTGTGGTAGCTTAGAACATAAGAATATGGGCTCAGATGTGTGAATCAATTGATTTTTCTTAGATCAGTTTGCAAAATTTATTTAATGAGAAAAAGGAAATTCCTGTGCCATATTAATGGTTTTCTTAGTTTCCATGATTTCTTCCCATTGGGTTTAGAATTTATACACACATAAAATTTATAGCATAAAATCCTCTTATTAGAATACTTTGAAGAAACAACTCAAGCATGAACCCTTCCTTGGAGAAGTCTGGAAATCTCTGATGTCTTAGACCATACTGAAAAGGCTTGGAAGAGATGAAATAGTAATGTCCTACATTTAAAGCAAATTGTTATTTGGAACTTACAGATTGTACTTTTCTCATTGAAAGGGTTCTCTAGTGAATCAAAGGGTTCTCAAAAGCTTTCTTTAGAAGATATAACATATTTAGTTAACCAGGTATTTAATGACCAGTGACAGCATGGTTTTAGAAAGAAGGCAAATTGTTGTTTTGTGCTTTGAATTGGTTCTAACTCAGTGCAACCCTGTGTACAACACACTAAAACACTGCCTGTATGCACAGTCGTCGCCGTGTTTGCACCCACTTTTTCAGCACCTCTGTCAGTCCATCTTACTGAGGGTCTTCTTTCTTGCCGACCCTCAGCTTTGCCAAGCATGGTGTCCTTTCCTAGGACAGACCCACCCGATAACTTGACCAAAGTATTTTAGCAGTTTTTACTGTTCTTACTTCTGAGGTGCATTCTAGCTGTACTTCTTCACGGTAGATGCGTTTGTTCTTCTGGGAGTTCACGGCACATGCAGTATGCTATGCCAGCAACCCTATTTCAGAGGCACCAATTCTTCTTGGTTCTTCCTTACTCACTGGCCAGCTTTCACCTGCATATGAAGCAATTGGAAAATACCATAGCTGAGCAAGGTATACCTGTTGAATACTCTGAAAAACAAAACAACAAAATGGTCCCTTTGGATAATACTGTTACATGGATGGAGTTTTTATCATAAATTAACTTGGATTCTTTGATCAGGTGAGTTAGCCTTTTGATCATGAAGGAAGGCAGGCCCTCTTCTCCCTCTTAGCATCTACCATAGTACTTAGTATTACTAGGAAAGTTGGAGGTTTCTTAAGGACCTTGGCACCATTTACCATGGACAGAACCATATGCATTGGAAGGGTAGAACCAAATCCTTTATCTAGGCCCAAAGTAGACTTACAGAAAGGAGCTCTGATAGCATGATGGGTCAGTACTCAGCTGCTAGACAAAAGGTTGACAGTTTGAGTCTACTCTGAAGGAGAAAGACCTAGCTGTCTGCTTCCATAAAAAAAATTACAGCTGGGGAAACCCAGTTCACCTCTGTCACATGTGTCTCTATGAGTCAGAATCAACTCAGCAGGACCCAAAAATTCCCGAGAACAGACTTGCAGAGTAGGAGAGCTGGAGGTTGCCGGCAGCATTTGCCCCATCATATGTTTGCTTTCCCCTAGGTTGGCTCTTCTAGTCTCAGTCCTGTTTTCCACTTGTTCACCTTCTGTCACTGTGGACAGCTAATGCATAGGACTCTCAGGAGCTCTGTAATGTTTTCCCACTACTCCTCAAGGTATTTAACAATACTTAAGGAGTTAGGGCCAAACAACTTAATGTTTGTATTCCCTAAAATCCCATTTGTTATTATGAGATGCCTTCGAGTTGACTACAGCTCATAGCAGCCCCATGAATGACAGCTCAGAACCTCGTCCCATCCTTCACCCGTCCCAAGATCGCTGTCTGCTAAAGCCTTTGTTTTTTTTGGGTTTTTTTTTTGTGTGTGTGTGTGTGTGTACTGGAAAATAATTTTTTATTGTGACCCCTCCATCTAGTCCTGACATTAGGCACCTTCTTCTTTTGCAATGCGGTCTTTCTTAAGTGGTCCCATGAAGGCCTTCTTCTCCTCCATTGTTTGGAAGCGGCCATGGCCAAACTTGGAGGTGGTGTCGATGAACTTGAGATCAATCTTCTCCAGAGCCGGGCGGTTGGTCTGCACCAGCAAGGACTTGCGGAGAGTCAGCACTCGCTTCTTGGTCCCCACCACACAGCCTTTCAGCATAACAAAGTCGTTGGTCACTTCACCATAGTGGACAAAGCCACCCAGAGGATTGATGCTCTTGTCTGAGAGATCATAGTCAGTGGAGGCATTGTTTTTGATCAGCTTGCCGTCCTTGATAACGTAGCCTTGGCCAATCTTGTAGATTTTCTTGTTGATCTCCTTGCGGTGATGGTAGCCCTTCTGCCCAGCATGGGCCACAGAGAAGGCCACTCGGGCAGGATGCCAGGCCCCAATACAGGCGACCTTGTGCAGCCCTCTGTGGGTCTTGCGGGGTAGCTTCTTGGTGTGCCAGCGGCTGGTGACCCCTTTGTAACCCTTTCCCTTGGTCACTCCAATGACATCAATCATCTCGTCCTGGCCGAACACCTGGCTCACTGGCACCTGCTGCTCCAGCTTCTCGCGAGCCCAGTCCAGCTTCTCAGCCACTGTGCCCCCATTCACCTGGATCTCCATCAGGTGAGACTTCTTCTGGCGCAAAGGAAGCAAGCGCATCTGGGTGTGGGCGATGACCCGGATGACCTGGCAGTACTTCTTCATGCTGCTGAAGTCCTTTTCTAACAGCTTCTTGCCATCCTCATCCTGCCATTTCTTGCAGTACTTGGTAAAAGCCTTCTTCTTAGATTTGTGCCAGTTCTTGTAGAAGCGCCGTTTGCATTCATCACTGATGTGCTCTGCAAAGACAGTCTTGAAGGTGCGGAGGCTGCGAGGGGTTTCCACGTAGCCCACGATGCCCACAATCACCATGGGAGGCGTCTCCACAATCGTCACCGCCTCCACCACTTCCTTCTTGTTCACCTTGGACCCCGGCCTGTCCACCTCCCGCACGATGTGGGTCATGCCGGCCTTGTAGCCCAGGAAGGCTGTGAGGTGCACGGGCTTGGTGGCGTCATCCTTGGGGAAGCTCTTCACCTTCCCGAGGTGCCGGCTGCTGCGTTTTCGAGGCAGGAAGCCCAGGGACCCATGCCTGGGGGCTGAGAACTTCCTGTGTGACATCCTGATGTCGGTTTCCGCCAGTAGTGCTAAAGCCTTTGTGTCAGTCCTTCTCATTAAAAGTCTTCCTCCCTTTCACTCTTTGAAAAATTAATGTAAATTGAAAGAAGATATCTTTTAATTTCATTTATAATGGTAATTTCATTACCACAAATGTCACCATTACTAATGGTTTTTGGGTTCCTGAAGGGCATAGCTGAGCTGCTTAGCTAAACCACATCATTTTCTTCTGCACCTTGATTTTCACACAGTATTTGGCTTTTTTATAGCAGTTACTGAAAGACCAGCTTGTGAAGAGAGATGTCATCAAAAGAAATTAAATAAAATACAATCTAATGTTGATTCAGTAGTCTATATAGCATCTCACAGATACTGAGTACAGTCCTCCCCCAGAATTTGTGCAGGATTTGTTCCCCATAGATGCAAATACTCATGTATGCACCAGTCCTTTATATTATAACATAACATGTTTGCATATAATTTAGACACATTTTCCTGTACACTTGAAATCATCTCCTAGATTACTTTTAATAGCTGTATCATGGATTGAATTGTGTCCTCAAAAATATGGTTATATAATGTAATGTGGAAAGGTAATAATATCCCATGATCTTATAAGCCAAATATTTGTAAGAAGATTAATGGTGGCATATAACACCTTTAAACCCATCACAACCCTGATCCCATGATCCAGTGTGAGGAAGGGTTCCCTGGGGCGTGGCACAGACCATCTTTTGTTTTCCAGGACTTGGAATAAGAGAGGAAAGTAGAGAATAGAAAACTTCAGCACCACCAAGAATCAAGAGCTAAGAAAGGAGTCTGTTCTTTGGACCTTGGTTCCTGTGCTAAGAAATCTCTTGACAGAGGAGAGAGCAAAGACATAGAGAGATCTCCAAGTAATGCTAGGCATATAAATGCTGATGGAAACAAGTATTATCTTCCAGAATGGACATGGAGAGAAAGTCTTTTCTCTAGAACCAGTGCCCTGGATTTAAACTTCTAGCCTCCTACACTGTGAATGAAGTTCTGTTTGTTAAAACCATTTGTTGTGATAGCTCTGTTACAGCAGCACTGGGTAACCAAGGCAGCTGAAAATAGTGTAAATGCTACATAAATAGCACTTCACATTCTCTCTAGAGTTTGAGGGATTACATTGACTGCTTAATCACTTTTAAAAATATTATCATTATTCTCTCATAGTTGGACCCAAGACTACCAGAACCCAGTTGGGAGACTGTATGATTCTCACCCTCTCTCAGCTTTACAATATTCTGTAGTATCTTTATGAGTTTACAGTGCTTCCCCGGGTGCCTCAATGCACAATGGCCAAAGGTGTTGTTATCTTGAGTTCTAGGATGCATTCTCATACATGTTTGGATGTATTAAGTGTGATGAATTGGATATGAAACAAAACTGTTGGTTGTTTATTTGTGGGGGGAAAAATCTGGAAAGAAAACTATGCCCTGTGAGTATTTGCAGCCTCTATGTCTTGTGTGGCCAAAGGCCATGACTAGGGGAGGCCTCTGGAGAGAATATTGAGCATCTCAGAAGCCAGAGGGATCAACAATGTCATCTTGATAGGCCTGTTTTTAGTGCAGTGTTTATATTCTGCACTCAGGGTCAGTTATGTAGCAAGCCTCTTAAATGGGAGAACCTTTAGAATACTCTGTAGTAAGATGAGATGTGATCATGAAGATCTCTTGAACCACCTGCACAGAGATAATCATGCAAAGTTACATTTTTCTTTTACTAGAAGCAGCAACGTCCCAAACAACATGCCTCTGGAAACTCTATGAACTTTGATAAATGCCCATAGCTGTAGAGAGGCTTCATGCCCTCTGTTCCTAGTGTCACTATGAGTCATGCTCAACTCAAAGGCAATCAACTACAGCAGTATAAAAAGTGTCCCTGATTTGCTGATCCTTCATTGCAATGGCAGATAGCTTCAAGTACGTTAGTGTATTACTTGGTCTTCTCCACATAGCAAAGAAGCTTATTAACGTTGAGGTGATCTCGTCTGTTTCAGGGAACCTGTGCGCCACAGTGTTTATAGGATTGCCGTCTCTTAGAAGCACATTACCAGACCTTTCTTTCAAGGCCACCTCAGGGCGTCTTCATCTTACCAGCGTTTTGTTTAATAGTCTAGTGTTTAAACTTTGTGGCCCTCAGGAACTACCCTTCAAAGTAAAGGTGGTACATTAACATGAATGATGAGCTAACTCATTTTCAGTGGATTTTTCTTTAAACTTTCTGATGTTCTTGAAAGTGTAAAAATACAATACCTTTTGATTAGTCTTTATGAACAGTTAAACTCTATCAGGGAAGATGGTAGTTTATCAAGTGCATTTCAACATTGATCTTTTCCTTTTCAGAAAGAATTCTAACAGTATATATGATTTGGAATAATTTTAAAATGCCAACAAATGTTTTTAAAAATAAAATACCTGCAGATTTTAAGGAAAAAACATCCTGAATCTCATTGCCCTTACTAATGTGAATAGGAAATATTTTTTTGTATCTTTAATGAAACATTTAGAAGTACTTTACTTTGATTTTTTAATTTTTATTTATAAAATATATTACCTCCATATTTGAAAGCTAAATCTAAGGAATATAAGGGTATACTCTTTACATATGTGAAGGCTACCATTCTAGAATTGAATATTTGGCATCAGTTAAGACTTTAGACTTTAAACTCTTCAGCTGCTTATGTTCAGATGACATAACATTGCATAAAAGTGAAAAAGACTTGAAGCACTTGCTGCAGAAGATCAAAGACTACAGCCTTCAATATGGATTATATTTCAACAGGAAGAAAACTCCTCTCTGCTGGACCATAAAGCAAAATCAGGATAGGTTGTTGAGAAGAGGTTGCACTGAAAAACGATGCACTTGTAAAATATTACACAACATGGGTGACCCTGGAAGACATTATATTAAGTAAAATATCTCAGAAACAAAATGACAAATACTGCATTGCACCACTGTTGAAAAGAAGGACTGACATAGGGGATTGGGAGGAGGATAAGAGTGGATAGATAATCAACACTGCATTGGAACAGGTGAGGGAAAGATTTATTTATAAGGAATATATTAAGCATTATATGTATGACCACAGTCCAGAATAAGAGGTACTTTGCAAAGAGGAATTGGGGAGGGGGTACGAGACAGGTAATTGTGCAATAATAATTTTTTTTTAAAAAAAGAATTGTGGAAAGAGGGGGAAATGTGCAACAGTGAATGAATGAAAAAATCCAACTTTTCTGTAAACTTTTGTTAAGATCACAATTAAAGTAAATAATTTTATGAATATGTAAAAATAACAAGTTTATGGATGAGAGATTTTCAGCTGCCATGTGGGCACCTATGACTTTGTAGAAAGTGAGGATCTGAGCTCTCCTAGATGTTCTCTGCTCGCCCTTGAGGCTACACAGCCCTGCTACTTCCTTTATTTATTTTAAAAATAGCCTTGTAGAAAGCCACAGACTGGGAAAAACTATTTGGTTATGGTATGTCTGATAAGGGACTTATATTTAGAATTTATAGATTTCTCCAGAACCTCAACAAGATAAAGGTAAACAACCCAATTGCAAAATGGACACAAGATATGAACAGACACTTCACCAAAGAAGACATTCAGATGATGAACACTTGAAGAAATGTTCAAAATCCCTAGCTCTAAGAGAGATGTAAATCAAAACAACTATGAGATATCATCTCAATCTAGTAACAGTAACAAAATTCAACAAAGCAGCAAACAACAAATACTGGCGAGGTTGTGGAGAAACTGGAATCCTTATTCACTCCTGGTGGGAGTGTAAAATGGTACAACCTCTTTGGAAGGTAGTATGGTACTTTCTCAAAAAGCTGGAAATAGAAATACCATTTATCCCGGCAATTGCACTATGGGAATATACTCTAAAGAAATCAGAACTGCCACGCAAACAGATAAATGCACACCTATGCTTATTGCTTCATTGTTCACAATAGCAAAGAGATGGAAGCAACCCAAGTGTACATTAATAAATGACTGGATAGAGAAGCTGTAGTATATCCACACAATGGAATACTACACGGCACTGAAAAACAAATAACTCATAAAATATTATACAGAATGGGTGACATTGGAGGACATTATGTTGAGTGAAATATCTCAGTCATAAAAGGACAAATACTGCATAATGCCTCTGTTATAAACAGGACCGACATGGAGATTGGGGGGAAACTAAGAAAAGAGGGGATAAATAATGAACACTGCATTGAAATAGATGAAGGAAAGAACTGTCTAAAAGAAATATATGATTAGGTATTATTTGCACAACAACAGTCTAGAATAAGAGGTGCATAACTAAGTGGACTAGAGGGCAGAAGGAGGAGGAAGGAAATTGTGCAACAATGAAAGAATCTTTTTTATTATTATTTTGAATGAATATTTACAGAGATTTTGCATTTCCATTCATTCACTGTTGCACTTTTCTCCCTCCCCCACCGCCCCCCCAACCCTCAAGTTCACTCTTCTCTTTGAAAAGCAAAAGAAAAATTCCTTCATTGGTATACAATCTCCCTGCACCCCTCCACCCCCACCCAAGTATACTCCACTATGCAACCTTCATTCTGGACTCTTGTCATAACCATAATACCCAATCATATTGATTGTCTTTTAACTAAAGG